TTTTTATAAGTAAGAATGACGCACTTCGCTCTGAACCATATGCCTTTGTAAGATCTGTAACAAACATGTCTTCTGGCTGGAACCCTTCTGTCTTTTCCTGGTTGGATGTATGACATAACAAAGCTTTTGTAAGTTTTAAAAAGCATTGACAGTGGAGATTAAAATACATTCTTTTTTACCAGGCAGACATTACGTGTCATTATGTGTCATATAAACAGAACTACCTGGAGAAAATAGTTGTGTTTCAAGGATGTTGTTACCTTCATAGATGGCATTTGAATCATGTAGAGGCACATTTTGGTTAGGACAATCTCTTTTAGACTTGCCTCACATCCTGTGTCCAGCTCTGTGTAACACATCCTAACTTTTTCCAGACTTTTATTCCTTTCGCTGTTGTTTGTTTTAACCGGTTTTGGGTGAACAAACGAGGGGGGCATCGTGTTTTCAGCAGGTTGAGCTGCAGGCAGGAATAAAAAGAGCAGCTGTCAATAACCAAAAGCAAACCTCCCAAAAGAGGACACAGACCAGAACTCTTTGCTCAACTGAAAAAAATAATTTTATAAATTAATAACTTTTTCTTTTGTTTTTTTTTCAATTGAAGCAAATAAAACCAAACGTAAGTTTACTTTACCTAAATAAATAGCACTCTGCAATATACCTAACAGTTTTAAAAGCTCTCAACAACAAGATACTAAAATAGAAACAAGTTGGTTGGAGTTTGTCTATAAAGATGAGATAAATCTCATGTCTGCATTAAATATAAATAGATAATTAAGCACGTGCTTATCTCGGTTAGGCAGCCCTAGACTGTCCAGCTCTGAAACTGAACCCACACACCTCATGGCTGTGGCACCCTTCGTGGAGCTGTTCCCTTTGCCCATGCATGGCTGGGTTCCATCATTTCCAAAGAATCGGAAAAAGACAAAGTAGGAACTGTAATTGCCAGCGCTGGCTTTGCCCCCAAGTTAAAAGCCCAGCGGTTTGGTATGGGTCGGTTTGGATTTGTGCTCCGAGGAAGTTGCCGATCTAAAATGTCTTTGTTGTGTCGAGACAGTCGTGGAAATAATCCTGCAAATGGAACTGTCAAACCCCCCCGTTGTAATTTGTAATTATTAAGATCAGGGATTTTCTTTAAATCCTTGAGGGAGCCTGTAAGGTAAGATGAACAACTCGGCCGCACAGCTTAGCGATTCAGTTTTTGTTTTTCCTGTGATCCTAATGAGCATCATTTTCCATAAAAAATCTAAAAAAGAAATTATTTTTGGGGGTTGTTCTGCTAATTTGGCCCCTGTTCTGTGTAATCGCTTCTTACAGTTCACAACAGGTGTCCCACTTTATGGTCAGATTTGATTTGAGTGAACAAAACTCAGATGTTGTTGGGGGGTTTTTTGCAAATGGAAACAATCTGGAATTTTGTTGGGGTGATTTTCACCATGATGTGATTTGGGCCTTGGTTGAATTCATGAACTTGATTTTGCCAAAGGACAGACTCTGATCTGAAGGCTGGTGGCTCCCTCTAGGGGATAAAACAGGGCCATGGAAACGTTGATCAAGCAAACAGAGGACTTCTGAGGATTTAAATCGGTAAGACTAAATGTAGTTCTTATAAATAGCGTCTTATAGTAAATCAAAACAGACAAATAACATGACAAACAAAGTCAATCCTATAAAAACTTTTAGAAAATATCTGAAAAGTCTGAATACGTTTTTGCTTTTCTGGCAAGGAACCACACAAAACTGAGCTCAGGCTCGAAAAAACCAAAAGTAAAAATCGGCTTAGAGCAAATGCCTTGTGTATTAATCAGAGCAAAGGCGTCTTTAATCCTCTAACAGAACATTTTGGCTTCGCTACTTTCTTTTTTTTTTTTTTTCCCCCTTCCTTGCCTTCTTAGAGCATTATCTGCTACAAACCCATTTGCATTCTGAAGTAAACACGTAGCTCAGAAATGTTGAGCTGGCTGGGTATTCTGTGCTGGGTTTTGAGCAACTTTTGAGCAAATTTACAGAGCTGAGGTATTCCCAGACAGATTGTATCGAAATCTTGCTCTACGGGCAGCGCCGGTCTTTCATTGACGGTCAAGAAATTGAGCCATTGCACCTTTTATCTGTTGCACTGTTGGTGGATCAGCCGGAAAAACTTCCTCCTTTATCCTCAGGTTCCCTGCCTCCCTGTCTCCGTACATCAGAAAGGATCTTTTTCTGCTGCAGATGAGTCAGCTTTGCAGGATGGAAGGGGGGCGGGGGGGTGGGGGATCCTGAGGCGTTCCCAGAGCAGATGGACTATTTAAACCCTGCGGCATGTTCCTGATCCTCTCCGCTTTTATCTTCACCCCAGAAGCTGAAAATAGCCGCCACAGGGAGGCGTCCTGGAGGCATCAGGAGCAGATGTTGGAGCCATATCCCCTGACTTCTGTCAATAACACAAACAAAAACATCACATTCAGCCTCTGTGAGATACGTCCTACTGTATTTTTTTGCCTCAAAAACAGTTACGACTTTTTCGGTCCGTGATTCCCCGCCTCGGACCGACTCAAAGCAGACTCTAGGTGCGAAGATTGCAGAGAACACACAGCTGGAAACACGACAAAAGGAGGCAAGGGGCCTGATGGGACTGCACCCGTGCTTGAAATTCAGAGCAGGGTGAGCATCCACTTGGAATGAAGCTACAAAGAAGTTACATTATATTTTACATTAATTTTTATACCTGCCATTGTTAACTGATTTCCTCTGCAACAAGGTGGGGATTCTCTTCAGGTTTTTATGTTTTTTTGGGGGGGGATAAGGCCTTGAGGCCTTATGTAAATGATTTTTTGCTTGGAGAGGAATTGACTCGAGTGCTGATGATCCATTGCATTACTTTATCAACAGCTCAAAATAATTTGGAAACATTAGGGCCGAAACACAGAGATTATAATGTCTGAATGATGTGCCTGCTTTCACCAAAAAAAAAAACATTTTCTTCCCATTCGATCCCTAAAAACTTACCCTGGTGTCCGTCATCTTGAATCAAAATGTCTGAAAATGTCTGAAAATGTTAATTAGCTTCAGTCGGAGTGGAGTGAAGAATGGAAGATGAGTGCATCCACTGGCACTAAAATAGGACTAAAATAGGTGCAACAGGGTAGTCTGGATAAATGCCAGTTAAGATGATTTAAAAGGCTTCGGAGAAGGTCAAGAGCCACATGCTTTATTTTAATTGGGATATTCTACAAGCAAGGCCAACGTGGCCCCCGCTTCACGGCTGCATCAGTGCCAGAACCGGGTAGCTAAATCGGAATTATGATGGCAAGTAACTCAACTTGAGTCGACTCAGTTCTGCTCCATTTGTAGGGTACAAAATCACAAGTCACTGTTATGCAATCCCAATTCATTCAGTTCAAGTTCATTTAAGTCCAAATTTGTCCAATTCACGTTGAGCTCCTTGAAAGTTCAGATCAGAATTATTTTAGAGTCAAATCCCTTTCAAAGGGAATTGCGGAATGAAACTCTTCTTTATGAGAGGAAAATCAAAGTCAAAAGAAAAAGGCATTGACTACAGAAAATGATATGAATAACTGCTATATAAACCCCTCTTTTTTGCCTTTTTCTGAATCCTTTAATTAAATATAGATGACTGTTGCAAGTAGTAAAATGTATTGTGTGGAGAACTGATTTGATAACGTGACTGAAATGATAAAACAAGACGTGTCTGCAGAATAGCTCTCAAAGGGAAGCTCTTGTACATCACAGCCTCTTTACATATTGTTTCATCACTGTTTGGCTCAACGGGAGTCGCACAGTGGCGTTTATCTGTGTCTCAGCGGAAAGCAGAGCTGCTTCATTTGACTTTATTTACTAAAATCAAGCTGAATTGTAATGAAGTTCAGGTGCCAGCTATATTATTCAGTATCAGTCCCTTTGTCTTAGAAATGGAATGCTTTCTCGGCTCTTCTACATTGTTTTTGGTACAGTGAGATAATGAATTGTTAAAAGTAGCGAGCTCGGTAACTCTGAGCACAATTTGGAATTCTGCACCTCGCACATAAAACCCTTCGTGACTCTGACCAGGTTCCACCGTATCTTAAAGATCTCAAAATTGGCTCCTGGTGGTTATTTAAGGTCGTCTATATCCCAAACGTGAATGTTTGGGGTTGGGGTGGAAGCTGGAGGAATTTGAACTGGTCATCCTCTTTTGATTTGGTGACAGGGGGGCCAACTACCAGGTCGTCGAACAGTGAAACCACAGCTAGCGTGGTGGAGTTACGGGGTGCAGGACCAAGCCTGGTTCCGCACAAAAGGCCTCTGGAACAATGTTCATTTGGTCATTTCTGTTGATGTGAGATCAGTTGCTGGTTTGAAACCCAGCAGAGGGTTTTGCTGTGGGTACTAAATGCCTGTAGGGTTAACTGGACCCTCATTTGACCCGTGGACGGCAGACCTCTGTATGGATCTGGGGTGTACCCCACCTCTCATCAGTGACAACTGGGATGGGCTTGTTCATCAAAAATGACAAAAATCTAAGGCCCAAGAATGAACCGGGCGATTTCTACTAACCGATAGTGGAAGCCTTGAGCTGAAGTAAAGGCTAAGTTTATTTTTCATGCAGCTGAAAGTGAACGCATTGAGAATTACTCATCCCAACCAAGGCAGAACGAGGGAGAACTAACAATGGAAATGGAAGTGCAGATGAAGAGGACGTAGTGGAGAAACTGAGCTTTTTACCACAATGGATAGTGATTACTATCCAGGTGGAAATCAATTCAGAGCGAACAGCGTGTTCTGACTCAAACCGTGAAGCCACTCTCCATTATATAATCAACAGTTGGCTCTTCGGCGCCTCTCCCTCACTCCTCCTCCTCCTCCTCTGTGTGCGCGGTGGCGGGGTTTGGGTTTGGACCTGCTGGGTTTGTGTTTGGAGGACGTGGAGTCGGCCGGCAAAGCTCTCGCAGACATTTTCTCCTCCGGCAGGTTAAACCGAACCTGCCGCCCACCACCCCTCCGGGCGACACAGACCGCGTCACCGCCCCCCCTCTCTCTCCCCACCAACAGCTCAAACATCTCCCCGTCGTCTCCGGGCTGTCGTTCATTCAAATGAACGGAAGCGGCGTCGACGGGGGAGGAGGGGGGTTCGACTCCGGCGACTACACACCGCCTCTCCGCTGACGTTTTGACGCCCACGGAGCCGAGGGCTGAGCCGGCCCCGAACTACCTGTTAGCTCGGAGGTGACCGAGAACCGCCTCCGCCGCGTACCTACTGACCTACTTTGCCTAAGTTGGGAGGGGAGGGGAGGGGAGGGGAGGTGGGGGGGAAAGCGGCACGGAGAGGTTCTCGGGGAACCGCAGAACATGAACGACACCGGGGTGACCCCGCGGGGAAACGTCCATTGAAACGGGAGAGAGGAACGGAGAGAGAAGGGGAGATAAGGAGAAGCGCGTGCTGAAGAGCGCGAGGCGTGCGCGCGCGGGGAGACGGAGGAGGTTATGCCCGCGTCCCTGCACCTGGACCCGGGGCTGCTGCCGCTGCTGCTGGCCTGCTGGCTCACCCCGAGGATGGTCGGGGGAAGTAAGTGACCGTTTCCTCCTTTTGTGACCTTCCGTGATGTGGTCTTCGCTAATTAAGGATAAATATGATGGAAATGAGTGCCTACTTGGTCCCTTGTCAACGCTAAAGACGACTTAAGCGGTCAATTAAGCGTTTGTTTTGCCAGTACCTGCTAATTAGGGCACACTAATTACTTTAAGCGGAGGCCTCGCGACTAAAAACTTGCAAAGATTTCGAAAACTGGTGTGTACTTATATGAATAGCTGCAGTGAACCCTGGTATATTTTTTTAAACAAAATAACAAAAGTGGCTCAATCGATTGAGCTGACCACAATCGATTGAAGTGACCACATTAAGGCGGAAATGGAAATGCGGTACGTGTGTTGCGGAATTCGCGGGGCGCCATGCTTAAAAGGGCCAGCTAAAACACAGCCGTCAGGTCATTTTAACGTCCCCTTTCAGCAGAGTCGGACACGCAATTTAAACATTCATAAAGCCTCTAAAGGGACGCTGAAAAAGCCACTGGAATACTGGTCCATTTGAGAGAGGAGGCTGTCTGGCCCCTTAGACAGAGGGGCATGTCTTCCTCACAAACAGAGCCTGTTTTCCTTTATCCAGAGCTTTAATTACACGACAGCGGCCTGCTTTACGTTAACGTATTGCCCTGTGTGTCTACCTGTTTGATTGGAGGCCAGCGTTTTACGCCTTGTATTTCAATCTGTCAAACAGCTGCTGTAAAACTGTCCAAACCTTAATATTGAATGCCCATCAGGGAATTAGAAAGTAAAAGCACCCCCCCCCCCCCCCCCCCCCCCCCCCCCCCCCCTCCGATCTGTTTAATTAGCTGTTGCAGGAATGCACTTAAATCACGGCAGGGCAGATTCCTCCCCTCTGGACATTTCCAGGGGGGGTTAAATGCGAGGTAGGCTCTGGCGGGCGGTGCCAAATCAAGGCGCTTGCTCTTGGCTGAATGACAAGAGGCGGCTAATCAGCTCTCACAAGGCTCTGTGTTGATTTATATGATGATGTGTGGCTCCCCCTGCCCCCCCCACAAGGCCTTAACCACCTCCGTCCGTGTCATAACTGCATCGTCGTCGACGCCGTTGGACGTCCCGCTGCTCCCTACCAGCTGTTTAGTTTAAACGGTCTCCATTAACATGATGAAAAGAAGCTCTCCCCACTCAGTATTACCTGCCACGTTGAATAAATCTTGGATACCTTCTTTGCCCGCAGCAGAACGGGATGGAATCCTCTCTACTGTCCGGGAATCGCCAAGCAACAGGTGCTGCAATAAACTGGTGGCGTCCCAGCAGACCGTTGGCTTTGAATAAAAGTTTTTATTGAATAATTAATAACTGCTTTGTCACATCGTGCTTCGGCACCAAGCTGAAACTCAATTTCACTGAATGCTTAATAAGTCTTTATACCTTCGACCTGGGAACTATAAATAAGAAGTTATATTATCATCCGGGATGGGACTCTTGCTACCGGCGCAGAAGAATCGATGCAATTATCTGCCAAGCTGAACTTCTGAGTTTTGTGTGTGTGTGGGTGGGTGTATCTTAAACGGGTCTCAGTTTTCAGAAAAGTGATGCCGTGTTCCATTCTTTGACTTAACAATTTTTGTAAGTAGTCCCAAATAGTTCTGCAGGCTTCCCGAAGGAGGTCCCAAAGCCCTTCTTAGGATGGTGGCTGCCTTTTTGTTGTGTCTTCACCTGTTGCCACAGATTTTTGGTCATTTGTCATGCCACAACATTTCTCCATTTAAGGACACTTCCTTACAGCAAACCCTCTATGGAGAACCCTCCTGAGGAGGCTTTTTAGAACAGCAGGTGGATCATCTGAAGATCAAGATAGAGATATCTTTGTTTGTGTGTTTTTTTTAAACCTGTCTCTTCCCTTTTTGTCCTTCTCTTGACCAGCTTCCCTCCCATTTTTTTTAAATTTGGGTGTTGAGGACAAACTGAATGCTGAGATGTCATCTAACAGTTATGTTTCAATCGTCCTGTTTATCAAACTCTGTAATCTTTAGCCTCTTTTTCAGAGATGTAGCTAAAAACATGGGAACAAATGACTGGTTAGCAGAAAAAGGATGCAAAATGGAATTTTGTCTCTGGTGTTGGGCTTATCATGAGCCCTAAGGACCAAGCTAAATTCTGAAAGCTATCTTAGATTTTGTTGCGTTTTCACTAATCCTTTGTGATAAAGACCAAACGCATGGCTGCAGACTGCTGGGAGTTTAAAAGGTAAGGGCATTTTAATGTGAAGGTTATTCACAGGTGCATAAACGTGGGCGTCTCCTGCAGAAAGGAGGAAGATGTGTTTGCTTCTGGGTGTGTTTTTTTTCCCCCTTATATCTGTGCTGCGTCTCGGTGAAAGGCTTTAGAATTAGGTGAAAGCCGCTCTGCAGGGGTCATGTGGAGAGGGTACAAATGGGAAAGCCGAACATGTGCAGCATGCAGGGATCATAAAAATGTGTGGACACGGGAGGTCTTTATTGAAAAGCAGCGGGGTAAAGTGCCTTTACATTCCTGCAGGGAAACCTCTTTTAATCTGCTCAGCGAAGCCTCACATCACGACTCGGCTCTCTGTCGATTGTCACCTTTTTCTTTTTTTTTTCTCCCCCCCCTGATGTAGCCTGATGAGTTAATGACGGTGAATCTTTTTTTTTTCTCCTCCTCTGCGCTTATGGTTTTTAGTTTTGCTGCATCACTGCTGTGCTGCTGCTCACACAGCGAGCAGCGGGATCATCTCGTGCGTCGTGACGCCGAGTGGCCGGCCCAGGGCAAATCTAAATTCCCCTCTGATTGCTGACAATTGTTGTATGGGCATTGTGGACCTTGATTAAAAAAATAATGGGTAATTTCCAGTTGCCTCCAAAGACTTGGATAGTGATTTAAAAAAACGTTATGTGGTGTCTTGTGTTTTTACTCGGTTGAATACAGCTCATTGGGCCTATAGGCCCCCGCTGTTTCAAACTAGAAACAGCAGTTTCCGTAGCTCGGAGGCTAAGAGCAAGGCAACTGAAGATAAATATTTGTCTCTTTTCCAGAGACGGAGACAAAAAGACTCAAACCGATGTCAAATAACCCCCCCCCCCCCCGCAAAAAGACTATCAAATTGAAGGAAACTGCCACGAAGAGAAATTAAATCCATGAATTAAAAAAAGGACCTTAAAATAATTAAGATGATCAATTACCAAAGATCACAAATCTTGGCATAATTGCCAACAAAGAGGGGAAATGGCAACCAAAAGGCTCACAATGACCATCAGGAACAGGGAGTACAGATGCAACATCGCCATTAAGAGACAAAATTACCAGTGGAAAAAAGAAATGCCAAACGACTACAAAGATTTAGAAACTGCAAAGAGACTAAACTATCTCGACTGTTGACACAGTGTCTGGCTCTTACATAAGGGGGCTGGGCTCTTGCTTGTTTCGGTTGTCCCGGTGCCCAGTGTTTCACAATCCGCTGAATAACGACCGGACAAACATATTTAATCAGTGTGTATAGGTGGTCGGTATATCAATAGGCACTCACTTGCGCCCACACACACACACACACGTGCGCAGACACGCATCCATCTCCGAAAGTGGTCGGGAGCCATTAGCCAGATTAGGCTGTCTGAGTTTATCAGCAAACTGTTACATCACCGTGATGTACGGTCAGCTGTCTGGCTCCCCGAGGCCCACCGCAGGCTATTCCTGGAGGAGCCAGGTAAACGGTGACGGTCACAAGGCTGCGGTGTGTCGTTGTTCGATTTGATAGCAATCCATACACGTGGGACAACTTCTTGGTTTGTTTGTGAGAACGGATGAAAACGGTGCCGTTAGCTAACTGGAAAGGAAAATACGGGATGTAGGTCCAAAGTGAACTAGAATGGTCAGCTTTAGGGGTTTGTTGTACCTTCTCGTCATTCCTTGATGTAAAAAAGGTTTTAACGCATTGTAGTTATCTGGATGCCCGCTTGGGAGGAGATCATGTCTCTTTGTTGGATCAGGAACATCTTCATGTCCCAACAGAAAGAGCTGGAGGAGGCGTTGGGAAGTTATTCTTACAAGGGGATGGATGGTTTAAGGTTTCTTGATTGACGTTTAAGATATAAAAATGAGGTTCAGAGATCTTATTTTCCCTTTTGGTGTTCCTGAGGTGGCCATTGTTTGCTTTTATCACCATATTATTCTAATTTTTTGTATAAATCTCGCCTTAAAATGTATTTTTCTTGTGGGTTATTACAGTTGAATTGTAAACTGTGAAACAACCATTCATGATGAATTGTTTTCATTGGCTTGATTCAATGAAAATGTTAAAATAGCCCAATAAAAAAGGTGTTGTTCTACTTGAATAAACTCAAAGGAGGTACTCTTCAGCACAGCAGACAGGGACAAGGAGGGGCTTGTCTTGTTTAAGGAGTGGGGGGAGTCGGTGTATTCTAGTTTTTAGATGTTAAGGATGTGAGTCTAACTCTGGAGGATAGTTGTACTGTTTGTGTGACAGACTGAACACAGATGTTAGGTGTGGTATCCTTTTTTATAATGAAAATGTTGCTTGGTGGAGTCAATGTTTGAGAATATCATGGCCACAGAGGTTTGATTTGAAGTGCATCTGGACCAGTGTCAGGTCTTTGTTAAATAAGAAAAGAATGATAATAAATGAGTCATTCTAACCTGCCTAAAGTGTGGACAAATGACGACATGCAGGAACAGCGTGAACTGTGCTGCTGACTCTCAACTTCTGTATTTCATCCTTCAGTCAATATCCACTTTTCTGCTCCTCTTCAGCCCCCCCGATCTTTGATCTTTCCCCCCCCTCCTTTTCTCCATCCATCTCCCTTTGCCCTTCGTCCGTCTTCCAGCTCCGAACCATCAGATTGAAAATCGCCATCTCTTGATATCTGCCACGGATAATTGCTCCCTCCTTTCAGGTTCATCTTCTTCTTTTTCTTTTTTTTTTTCCTGACTCATTCGCCCCTCGCTTTCATATTCCCGTCATCTTTCATCTACGTCTCCCGTCCTTATCTCTGTTCCCCCTTGCCCTGCCGACTCCGGCCTAAGCCTCTCATCTCCTCTGCCGGTGTGTGTTGTGTAATTGCAGAAGTCTAATCGGGTGTGCGAGCGCTCCGTGGCAGCGACAAAAAAAACACAACGCAAGTTTGGCTTTTTGTGCATTTGAGACAATCAAGTTTCAACCCTTTTCTAATTATTCAGGTGAAACAAATAGAGAGAAAAGTATTGCAGATGGATGCTCCTTCGCAGGCGGGAGCTCAACTTTCACTGTCCTGCTTCAGAGCTCTCTGTTGGAATGAATGCGTAGCTGTCTCTCAATCTGTCACTGGATTATTTTGAGTTTATGGCAGTTCCTGCTGCCCACGCCTCGGTGCAATGAGCTTCCTTTTCTTTATTCCTTTTTCTGCTTTGTATTCGCTGAATGAAAGCGCGTTTAACAGGCAGTTACAAAGAAAGATTACAATTAGTTTGGTTTAAGAATGTACAGAAGTCAAGTCATGCTAAAAAAAAAACTAATACGGGGGAAAAAAGGGAACAGCCTTTCTCTTTTTTTATAAATTCAAATGGTTTTCCTGACACGATTAATACTTATTAATTTAGATACAGCTGACTCGGTAAAGAGGGCAAAAAGGCAGAAAGATTTGTAATAAAAATGGTCTGAACAGCAAGCCCCAAGCATGATGGTTCCACTCCCATGTCGAACACTTTGAGGTACTGTTGTGTTCCTCTACGTGAAATCCTGCATGTTTTATGCTCACATGGGATCATTTTAGTTATATTTCAGCATGGAAAATTCTATTTTATTGTATCTTTTCAAAACGCCTTTCCACCAACACAGCAAAATAAGACTAGTCTGAGCACAAAACTGTGCTCAGAGTTGTTGCTTTTTGTTTCTTTTAAGTACATATTTTCACTTTTTTAAAAATGTGTTTATTAATGTCTTTTTATGGAGTTATTTAAAAAAAACTTTTGAAACATTTCCCAACAAATACTGTGTGAGAGCCATAAAAAGACTATCACCAGTCTTTGGTAAAAGACATGCATGCTCAAATCAAGAATGTAAATACAAGGGAAGATGTGCAGAGTAACGGCATGAAACCGGCTTGGCAGAGACATCGTTTCGTTTTCTCTCCTTTGATTGTCTTTGATGTTTTCTTGCATGACGAAAAATCCAGGTTTTCCTTTCATGTGCCACGAGTGAAATCTTAGCCTTTTCTTTTTTTTTTCTTTTGCCTTGATTTCGTAATAGGCGACAGTATAGGCATAACCCCCCCTTCCCCCGCCACCTCGATTTTTTTCACACAGAAATACATATAAATGGATGCTTTTCCAGTGAGGACATATTAATTGTGCCAGTGAGAGGGAAGAGAAATGTGCGGTGCTATTCCTGTCCCCACGTCAAAGAGACGGCAGATTCTGGATGTGGATGAACTGGATCTGTCGATAATAATTGACTGTCTGCAAAAAAATCCAATGACTGATTAGACCTTCTGTCCCCAGCAAGAGGAAAGTCAAGAGAAGGAAGTTAACGTCTGTCTTTTGCCTTTTTTTCTGTAGTTTCATTTAGTGCAAAATGTGTTTTTTTTTTTGCAGGCCGCTGTGATCTCCTTTATAACAAAGTATGATTCTTCAACTCATTTGCAATAAAGAGATACAGGAGGTCCTTCCTGCCACATAACTGTTTTTATTAGCTTCTAATGATTTGCTTTAAAAAACAACCTGCAATCAAATTTCCCTTAGAGTTTCCATTCTTGCTGTCTGTAGTATTTCTGCCATCCTGATCTTGATTTAAATGCTTTTTCCAGTCTTTTTATTCACCTGTTAATTCTACTAATTTAATTCCCTATTCCATTTAAAAGATTTTTATTTGTCCAAAACCAAAAACAAAGCAAAAGCCCCCTTTATCTCCTTTTTTCAGGGGAGTTTGCAGCCTATTCCCGATTGATCACTGTTTCATTCTTGGAGTGGCCTCCTCACTTTTAACTTCCCCTCAGAGAATAATTTTGACAAACGTGCGGGAAAAAGGGAGTTACTGCTCTTTTCCAGTCAGTCATATCAACTTACACATGAATCTGCATCATAGAAGAGTTTTGGTCACATTAATGTTTTAACACTCCTGTCTGTATCCAGTTGTTGGATTACGGTTTTGGCCTGTTTTTCCCGCTGAACGATGGTTAATGCTTCTTTTTCCAGCTTCTTCAACAGAACTGGATGACCTCCGCACCATGTTTGGAACAAACCGAAACTCGGCACATCCACGCCCGAAGAAGTCGATCTCTTCCTAATATAGAAACTCATCCATCAGAGGGAACTCTGCCCTGACCACAGCTGTTTGTGTGTGTGTGTTCACAGCGGTGCCGGCAGCCCCGGTCAACGTGTCGGTCACCCAGCTGAGGGCGCACTCGGCCATGGTGACCTGGAACGTCCCCCAGGGCGATACCGTCATCGGCTACGCCATCTCGCAACAGGTACAGTCCCTTTCAGCTCTTTCTGGTCTGACGCGTGCGTAAAAAAACCCGGGCCTGCTCGCCCAAATCCTCCACTCGCACGCCTGAAGGCCAATTAATTTAGCTGCAATCCGAACTACGACTCTTAATACCCCGCAAACTTGGAGCGCTGCCACGCTCGGGGCAAGAAAAACAGCTTTTCCAAAGATGAATAATGGATTTCTTTTTGATCCCCCCCCCGTTCAGTCTCCTGAGGAGTGGATTATTCTTCATTTTGTCCTCTCGCCGTTATCTGCGGCTGCTTTCTTAAAAACGCAGCGTCATTCAGACCAGCAGGCAGCTCAGGGTTTCTGCTCGGTGACACCCGGGAGTCAAAATTGAGAAGCTGGAAACGTCTCAGGGGGGGGAGCCCGCCCATAAAGATGTAGATTGTTGAAAGGCTTGTTGATGTCACGGCTGGCTGCTGTTGACACAGATGCCGGAAGAATCAATAATGATTAAAAAGAAAATAAGTCTCCTAATTAAAACCAGGCAGCCGTATGTAGACCCAGAGTTTTCCCTTAAGGCCCACAGACCCGTTGAGCTCAACAAATTGCTCTGTGGAAATGTATGCTTTTTTTTTTAAGCTTCTGGCCTCAGCAGAAACATCTGTTGTACCCAAAGGTAGTCAAAGTGATGTCGAGATGAAGCCTGCCAGTGTTAGAAAAAATGTGAAACTATGAAAATGTTTAACATTTTCATGTCAAAACATGCTGTTTTAAAATGGGTTTTGTTGGAATCTCATTGTTATGTTTGAATAAATAAGCATATTTCTAACTGAATCGTTCCTTTGATATAAGTCACAGCAGAACAGGCCTTGCTCGATAGTTGGTTAATTTCATTCCCCCATAAGCTCTACTTCTGCTTGCTCTGTCCTTTCTGTATTGTTCCAAAGTAACTGTATCCATCCCCGAAGGGTCTGCAAATATAGTTAGTGCGTATCTGTCAGAAACGGTGCCCTCCTCGGCTTTTGCTCCTTTTCTCTCTCTTTGATTGCATCTCTAACAGGTTAGAGCTCTGATTTGTTTGGAAGCGGCTAAGCGGCTTTGCAATGGCTGTGCTGAACTGCCACCTCCAGTACAAAGGCTCTCGCCTCGATTCTGCCACATTCTCTCGGTCTCACATCTCCCGTTACCCAGGCTGCTTCCCCAGCTCGGCTCGTTTTTTTAATCACTTCTTACCACCCACGGTTTTTGGCAAAGGGAGAGTCAGACATTAGCCAAGCTCCGAGTGGGAGCTGTCTCCATTAGTGGAAATGATTTGGCTCATCTTTACAGGAGGAAAGCGTCGGCAAAGCCAAAACATCCCTCTTCTCCATAAGTCACCTCACGTTTGACTTGGAGCCCATCGGCTTTGTGGTATTTTCAAGAAGACACAGAAAGGTGATGTGAAACATCTCCCGCCGTAACCTGAAGAAGCTCTTAAGAAGAAAAGCTTTGTAAATTATTAAGGGAATGGGGGGGGGGGAGAGAAGAGCAGGTGGATGCAGCAGGTTTAGTCGTCTAAGCTCTGCTGTTAGTCATCGCTGTTGCTCCGGATAAGAGAAAGGTGTGACCAAAAAAAAAAAGCAAAGCTGCAGTTACATAAAAGGCTGCTCTGTCAGTCACAGAGAGGCCGGTTCTGCTTTAAACCAGTCAACCTGCCCGTCCTGGTTTTGGCTTTTTCCGCTTCAGTCAGAGCCCACAATTTGGCGGCTTTACCTGGATTAATTCAGCCGTGCCGATGAGGCCAGGCTTCTCTTTGAAGCGATCATTCCCAGCGTCGCTCACCTGAAGCCGTTTGAAACTCCACAGTGCAGAGAATCACACATCGCCTCCGAACGCGCACAGGAAGTAACCCAGTTTTTTAAAAAAGTGGGCTTCTAAGCCTCCCTGTGATCCAAACAATCAGAACAGGCTTGTTTACCGAGCAAACCGCTGCCGGAGGCGTCTTTTGAGGTTTCTGAGGCCGCCGCTCCACCAAGGCTGTCGGCTTGTTTATCTGCTGCTCGTTTTAAAAATAGTCGCTCAACCGAGGCCCCGGCACTCGACTCCCGCGTTGCGTTTTACCGCCTTACGTACAAAACGGTGAAGCTCCACGGTTAGTCATGTGGGTAGTAGGAGGCAGCCGCATTTAGGTGTTGAGGAAAAGTGTGTGGAAGTGAAAATACAGCACCGTTTTGTTTGAGTTTTTTTTGCAAGTTGTCCAATGCCGCCTTCGTTTCTTTTGTCTAGTGCCAGGAAATCGGGGAGAGAGACAGGAGACACAGCACCTTTCTCCTTACAGCGAAGTCTGAGCCCTCTTAAACAAGCTGCCTGTCATGTCTTTAAACTTTAGTGTAGTAGTGTTCAGAAATAGCTCCCCATGCTTCTCAGAAGACATCCTAAAGCTCTTCTCTGGATGTTTCTGTGTAATTGGGCACGTCTCAACCTTCCAAACCTCCAGGTTTGCCCTCTTTGTCTGCCACCCTTGGAAATCGTTTCTGATAAGGTTCAACAGTTCTTTTGTCCACCCCACGACACCAAGTTTTCAAATGACATGCCTTTGTGGTACAAACACATTTGTTGTCAAACTTTATCTTTGGAGATTTTTGGAAACACAAGTGTCAAAATGCGCTTTTTAAAAAAATGTTTTTTTCCCCTCTAAATAGATAATTACCTAGACTGAATGAGTGGTTAGAAATGCTGGAGACCTATCAGGATATGAAATATATACATTTTGTGGCCTTGAAATCCAGGCTCTATTGACAAAATAGGTGATAATCAATCAACCAAAGCCTTAGAAATAAAAAATAAAAAGATTGTTAAAAGCGCATGGAATGCAAGGTTCCCAAGGTCAAGGTCAGGAGAAGGCAATTAAAGAGAAACATTCAATTCAGTTCAGTTTTATTTATATAGCACCAAATCACAACAAAAGTTATCTCCCAGCTTTCCAAACAGGGCAGGTCAGACCCTACTCTGAATTCCCACCAAGAGCAAGCCCTAGGCGACACAGGAAAGGAAAAACGTTATTTTAACAGGCAAAAACCTCGATACTAATGATAACGACAGCATTAATAACAGCAATAAGACTATTAACAGTGGCTGTAATCGTAGCAGAGTAGGAACAAGGGGGCAGCAGGAGACTCCCAATCACAGATCCAGACCCCACAGCTCCAGAAACACCTGCAGGAAGCGATAGGAGGAGAGAGGAGGGGGACGAGAAAGCACACGACTACGGGAAAGGGAAAAAGTCCAGTTAGTAACGTGCGTTAATGGAATTAGGTTGCACTGAGAGGGAGAGAGAGAGAAAAGGAAAGGGGGGCTCGGAGCATCATGCAAAATCCACCGACAGTCTAGGCCTATGGCAGCATAACAGCACGTATCTCTTAGAAAGGTGATAGAATAACACAATGTGGAAAGGTGATGTGTAACTCATCACTTGGTCAGATTCCTGTGACTTGTATGTGACTTAATCCGTGTAATTATTTCAAAACACCATATGTATAAAGAAAGTACAGCTATTGATATTTGGCTGAAATTGTGCCAATAGCACTTAAAAAGGCTAAAACAATGAGATGGAGTAAAGAAGCAACCTCATCACAGAATGAGCTGCTGCCGCCTCATCAGCGTTTCTCTCAGTTATGTTCATTTGTACATTTCCCCTTTATAGCTTGTATTCTTGCTGAATCACATCTGAGTCCATTTCTGATTTATAAACTTTTTTTTTTTTAATCTCCCATGGGTCTCTCAATAAAACCTCCCTCGCTGACCCCCCGCCTGCAGCGCTGCCAGGGGGAGCACAGGACACCACTCGCACTCGGGCTCAGACATCTGGAAAGCCTCTAGCTTCCTGCCAGCCCTCCATTTCTTCCCCGTTGCTCAGCTTTTAGTACCTCTAAGACACATTTACAGGCTGGGAAGCGTGGGCTCTTTATCAGCAAAGGGAAAAGAAACAGATTCTAGAGATTAACCGTCTGCTTACCTAAGCAGTCTGTAACTTCTTTATTTCAGTGTCACATAAACATTTTTTTTAAAAGGAAAACGGTTCAAGGAGAAGCTGGTGGAGAACACAAAGCTAGGGAGAGAGAAAACCAGATGTCGCTCATCTTCCCCATCATGTTTCAGCCCCAGTTTTTGTTGCTACTCAGCAGTAAAAGGGATTTCCGTAGCTTGTCTCTGCTCCGGACTCTGAGAAGGGGACTCATTAATTCAGATCCATTATGTGACCGTAATGATGGCCAGTGTTATTTCGCCCGCAGCCCTAATTTCCCACCGTGAAGCAGGAGAGGTTAGAGCAGAATCTATGTAAGGCAAATCGGCTTGTTAAGAACCTCAGGTTATGTTTTTTTTTTTTTTTTCCAACAAATTTTTTTCGTTTAACCCTTTCTCTTCTTCCCGCCCCGCCTGCAGAGGCAGGACGGACTGATGCAGCGCTCCATCCGGGAGGTCAACACGTCCAGCCACTGGTGCGTGCTGTGGGATCTGGACGAGGACACGCACTACAGCGTCCAGGTGAAACGCGCACGCTGAAGTAGATCCACTCAATAAAACAAGACAAAGACATCGAACAAATGGGGGGGGAAAAAAAATTCAAGTCTTTTTAAGAATTACATATAGAAGCTGCAAGAAGTTTCTTGATTTATGTAGATGTTCAGCAAATGATTCAAACTCATGTATGCAGTTCAGATAACACACCTGTTGCATTCAGCTGGATGACATTTATAACACAACTCTTTTCTGGAAGATGCAAATAACTGCATCTGTGCTTTTGCTTCACATGTAAACAAACTGTAGTATTTAATTTAATACTGATGGAATGCTTCTCGTGTTGGAATCACAGTCTGAGGGTTGATATCTCCATGGATTCCTCGGTTGATTTATCTAGTGTGCAAAAACTACCTCACAACAATGACTTTGGAAATGATTCACTCAGTCCAGAAGGCATCCAGAGGCGGGCAGCCCGTATACGCAGAGTCTTCCTCCTGAGAATTTTTTCCGTGCGAACGCTGATTTTCTTCTCGGCTGGTGTCTCAGGAGCATTTCTCTGTTTGCGATGCTGTGAACTGCGTGGCCATTTTCTCGGTTACAGCGCAGTGCGAGGAATTCTGAGGGCCTCAGCTGAATGCTGAGTATTTTGCAGCTTCCAACAGCATCTGCAACAAATCCAGTAAAATTTCAACTAGGTTTCGAAAGTTTCTCATCCGTGAAACGACTGAAGCTTTACCGAGGGGCCCCGAGGTGGTGGCCTGAAAAGTTTGAGCCGGAAAAGTGACTTTCACATTTCCAGCTGACTCAAATTACCTCCGAGTGCAGAATTAACTCGGGCTGTGACTCTTTGTCCATTATTGCTGCTAACAGTCGCACTGCGGGTCCTCTCTGACCGGACAGTGTCTGATGCGACTCTATTATCATTAAGCGTTTTTGAGCCTATTACGGCTAAATCCGGCAACCGGGCTCGTCCTTCGGCTGCAGGTTGAATGTTCCCGTCCGCGTCCCTCAGAAGTGTCATTGAACAAACAATGAGGCTTTGCCAGACTCAGGCAGAAGAGGGGGGGAGTATGCACTCTGACCTCCCTCAGAGAACAGGAGGGTAAACAGGAGAAAAGCCCCAGTGGAGTTGTTTTTGTTTTTTTTCCTGTTGGAGGACGAGAGCTGAATTCAAACGACGTGGCCTTGAGACACGAGATGTTCACCTCATCACATAATTTCTTTAAAATGTTGTTTCGTCTTGATGAATGCCTGTGCAGGTGCAGTCCGTGGGGCCGCACGGCGACAGCCAGCCTAGCCGCGCCGTCCACTTCCGGACGCTGGAGCGGACCGACCATTATCCTGTGGGGGTCCTAGACCACCGTAAGCACACACACACAGGCTCACGAAACGGGAAGAATTCAGTAAACAGGGCACTGAAAAGTGAGGGGGGAAAAAAAAGAGATGAAAAACAGACAAAATGGAAGATGACTGAATAAATCCACTGATTGCTTTTCATTTTGAATTGTATGTCGATAAACAGATGTTGATAAAGCAATTAGAGAAACAGAACATGAATTTAAACGGTGCCTGAAGTCCATTGGTGTTTGTTTAGTTTCTTTTTTTTTTTGCTGGAATTAATCTTTGAAAGAGTGCAAATATCCCAATGATCCTGAAATAATACTTTCAATTTAGAAATTAAACAGTCGGAAAAACGTTTAACACAGAAGGATGATTACACACGACATATTAAACTGCATAAAAAGACGGTGCCTCCACTTCCAACGGGGTTTTTAGGAGGCGAGTGTGTGCGAGGTTCTGCTGTAGTTAATTAAGAGTCCTCCGTCATTGTGGAGCTGTAATAATGTATGTCTGTCCCAAAAGCACAGGGCACACCAGGACTTCTCTCACAGCACATCCTCCTGTACCTTCCGCGTTAGATCATCCAAATGTGAACTAACTGAAGGAATCCGCAATTAAATGGGCCTTACAAAAAAAAAAAAAAAAAAAGATAGGACAAGTGGAACATCAAAGCCTGACAGGCTTTCTGTGTTAATGGCGCATTAATGTTTGCGAATGTCCCATATGAATATTCGATTAGAACGTTATTCACGCAGTCAAATGTGCACAGATGAGCCGGCGATGGAGGGCCTGGGCATGACTCCCCACCTGCAGACGGGCGAGCTGCTCATCATCACCACCGTGCTGCTGCTGTGGGCAGGTCAGTCGGCCAGCGCGTCAGTGGTCAAGCCCCAGAGCGCCGAGCTCCCTCTAACGTCTGCTCTCTGCTCCCCCCCAACAGCCGTCATCGCCCTCTTCTGCCGGCAGTACGACATCATCAAAGACAACGACTCCAACGGGGCCAAGGAGAAGGCCAAGAGGCCGCTGGTGCGCGCCTCCTCCTCCTACTACAACGCCTCGGCCGGCAGCTCGCCGGCCTACCACAACGGAGCCGTGCGCAGCAGCCGGGTGAGCTTCCATAATGCATGATCAGGAAAATGTTTTGGGTCCTCCGAGGAGCCTTTTCTGTAGTTGCATCAGAGATCTCCTAGCAACTGCAGCTGCTGCCGTCCTGGCTAAATTTAAACCAGGAAGATTGGGAAACGGAGGGGAACATGTGTCCAGAATGCAGCACTGACCGACAGCCGTGTCCTACCCTCAGAAGAGTCCAGCCCCGTGACCTAACTCCCATGGCTTTAAACAAAGTCATATTAACTCATTGGCTGCCAAAGACGTCTATAGACGTCAATTCAAATCCAACCGTTCGCTGCCAAAGACGTCTATAGACGTCTTTTATGTTTTTCAACGCGAGTGGCTTGGTGAACGATCGGCTAAAGTTTTTCCGTAAATATCGGCTTCCAGACAGAGTATGTACTAACAAATTGACCCTCTAGGTAGCTGTGCCACTTTTGATGGGAGATGAGCATAGATTGTAGGCAAATGAAAAAAAACGCAATGGTTCGCTATGCGAGAAATGGCGCCGGTGAGACGCACGTCGAGGAAGAACGGAATAAGGTAGAAACACATATTTTTTCCTGATGACAGAAGAGAGTCTACTCTTTCTTTTGGTGTGTTCGGTGTTTACATAGTCATAGCACAAACTATTCTGTGGCTCTCAGTCAAAATGCTCAAAAAACTCTGGCAGTATGGGACTCTCTGTTCTGAAAATGGCTGGCAGTCAATGAGTTAATCCGAAATATGTCATATGTAAGTGATGGGTTTTTGCTCATGTTTGCTCCCCGTTGTCGTTTTCCAGCTGCACCGAGCGTCCTCCTCCATCAGCATCATCAGAGTCTGAGCTCCGGAGCCGTTTTTGAAGACTTTCTGCTCAGGTGGAGCTTCATCTGGATTATCTCGACAAGTGAGGGGAAGGGTAGGGCGGTGGGGGGGGATTTATAGACCTGCTGCTGTCGCTAAGACTCTTAATTTATTGTAAAATATGAGCAAAGTCAGAGGCACTGGATGCGGAGCGGATTCAGACTGGAGCGAGGAGCAGCGGGGGGGAAGTCGGCGGACCACCGCTGCCCTCTGGTGGTGCGAAATATCAGTGTTTTCCTAAAGGAAACGGCTGGAACTGCAGCTGAACTAATCTCCTGCTTTCTCCTCCGATGTCAAAGACTAACTGTGAATATTTTCCAGCATGTGATTCCCCCTCAGCCTCAATTCAGGCACCTTCAGAAGCCTCGTGCTGCCGATAGTTTTCCTCTCACCATCTTCATCCCTCTTTTTTTTTCTTCTTTAAAAGACTCTTCTTGTGTTTTTTTCCCCCCCCACATCACTTCAGCTCAGCTTCCTCCACCAGTAATTAGCTGTTCAGCAGTGGCATCGTGCTCCACGTCAGAGTGTACATTTGTGCTGTAACTCAATATATTTGAATATGTGGGGTGGCGGAGAGGAGTTTTCACTAAAGGATTCCGAAGTGGTTGAATTAAATCAATTCAAACTTTTATCATTGAGCTGTTAATTATTTTTTTCATATTTGTTTTTTACTCAAAAGAACTCAAAATCAGCTGCTCCACTTAAATGTACGACTGTGTATCAACTCCAGTGGAAGTAGTTAAGATTATGATCAAACTTGAAGAAAATACAGAGCGGGCAAAAAGGGGGATTTCATATAAACGACAGTAACGATACAAGAAAAAGATTCAAGCTGTGTATGCATTGGCTCGTGCTTGGATCCACCTCATTCATGTGGTCCACAAGATTTTTACAAGGGTTTTTATTTCCTGGTTCATAAATGTTTTGTTGGGTTAAGAGAAGGACCTGAGAGTAGTCCACGTCTTTCCTGCAATAAACGGCTGTCCCTCTTTTGTTTTACGACTAAAAGAACGTAAAAACGCTTCCTGTCTGCCCAGAATGTGTTTTTTTTTTCCAGGCCTGTCATCCCTGCCCTTCTTAGACAGTGGTTGGATTATTAGGATTCCTGGTAAATCTGAGTGACACACATTGCCTGGATTATTAGCAGACCGGGACAGTGTGTTGGCTTCCCTCTTTGAGACGACCAAACGATCATAAGGTGCTGTGAGGACCATTTTTTTGTGCTGATCCCAGTGACCGTAATCACCTTCGCTGACTCAGCAAGACTTACCCTTCTCTATCTATTTAGGTATTTGGTTGCAGCTGACTTCCCTTTTCCCTGTTGGATCCAAATTTACTTTTAGCTGCTCCCTGTGGGTTCAGCCCTCTTTGGCATGATCCCTTGGCCTCCCTTTCATATCTTTGCCCTATGTTTCGGTGAGATGTGCGGGTGAGGCAATGTTTTTTGGGAGGCTCTGACTTTTATTACTAACTGTACGGCACCTCTATAGATAAGTAGCTGGAGTTCAGCTCCTCGGGTACTTTTCTGTTTCTTAGTACAAGAAAGCCTGTGTGTTGTACAGACATGACACGCGTTTTTGTTTTTGTTGTGTATCTTATCCGCGTATTTTACATATTTCATGTAAAAAAAACAAAAAAAACAATTTCAACCCTCTTTAGATTAATCGAAACATCTGTGTTTTTTTAATTAAAGTTGGGTAGTAGAAGCAGCCCCGGAAGACAGACCTGACCTCCTCCTGACGTTATCTCTCGTTTGTGACTGTTGGTTGGGTGGTTTATGTGGAGGAGTGTGAATAAACACGAGTGTTGCTGTCGCTGCTGTTCCTCAGCCTTCTGGACAACAGATGGAGCCAGAACTCCATCAGACGTGGCTTTTCTTCTGGAAGCTGCATTTCGTTTTGTGTCAAGAGTATGTGCGCATGGGTGGAAAAAGACACCAAGATATACAGATTTTTTTAAAAATAAATAAATAATATTGGCAGTTATTGTTGATTAGAGAGCCTATTGGTCCATTTAAGGCCTCAACCGATGAAGCTCCCTTCTGCTAAAGAGGTCAACGCCATCGGGTGAGATAAGCTTGTGCACATGTTTCTGTTTGATATGAACTCCGGAAACCCCAAAAAAACTGATTTTAAGTTTTCAGCTTTAAGTCTTCCTGGGTCAGAGTGTACCGGAAGGCCTTCCACCTGAGGTGCTCCACAACCTTCAGAGCTCCTGCCATGTTGTGTCTTTTGTTTTCAGCTCCCTTCGTTCCCAAACAAAAGGCAGAGGCCCCGGTCCTCTGCGAGGTAAAGGGCAGGCAGACCGAAAATACCACCGCCTGCCCGGGGCTTGTCATCTTCCCTGATGCTTGGGAGGCTGTTTGTGACAGGCAGTGTTGGGGAAGGAAGCCGAGCGGCAGAGAGGGATCAATGAAGTGCTTTCGACTGAATCGCGGACGAAGGGGTAAATCCTCCTCTTTCATGTCGCGCCGGCTCCGCCATCCTCCGAGTCCTTCTCCTAGAGGTACCGAGGACTCGTCGCCAGTTAATGAGATTTTAATCTGCGGCACATAACTGCAACCCTCAACGGTGACATTTAAAGAAGTCATTAAGTTCCGGCTTTTTTACAGGGCTCTTCGCTTCCCGCCGGAGGGCTCGTTACTGTAGGTCTGGCACAAAGACATCCCAATAATCATTTAGTTTTATTTAGTCCTATTAATAAGATTTAGCAGTTCCATTAAGAACAAGCAACTGGGACGAATCTTCCCTTCGTCCCCCTGGATCCATCTATTATTTAGCTTGTTTCTTTAAAAAAAAAAAAAACACCCAGTATTGTAAAAAAAAAAAAAAAAAAAAATGTTGTTTACAAAAGAAAGGAGGAAAATTAAATGCTTACTCACAATGGACACATTTAAAGATGGATGCCATACCGATGCACACATGATGCAGCCTGACCTTTATCTTTGAGTGCTTGCCTTCAGACCTCCTGAGACTATAAACTTTTTCCCTTTTTTCGGTCGAGAAAATGTCTTACGGGGCTTCATTTCCATTCAATTCACCAGTGGTCAGACAACTTACTAGTCCCACCTTCCCTCCGAGCTTTCAGTTATCTCCAAATTAGGCGGTATTTAACATAGTCAAGGCCCTGACCATATATTTGTTATTTCTTTCAGTTTTTTTTTGTCTTAACTACCCAAGAATCTGTCCAACCTGCAATCATGTTCAGACTGGGAACTGAGATTTGAAGTTTTTGACGTCGGTCAAAGGGAAACCCTTCAAATCTCATTAAATCTCATGAGCGCTGGACTCCACCGACATTCCAAAGGACCGTGTCTGTCGGCTGTGAAACCTCTAAATTTCAACCAGCAACTGTTTGGACAGTCAAATTTTGACTTTTTAAAAACAAATTTTTGACTGCCGAGTCCTCCTTTGGCAGTTTGAGACAAAAAATCTGATTTTATGTCCCAAACTGATTTTATGGCATCTTTCACAGCACTTCTCTCTCAGATCCAGTGAGGCTGAGCTGGATTGCTGGCTGTGCACGCTGCAGTGTGAAAGGCAGCATTGTTGCTTGGCAGCAGTACATCGCGAAACACAATGTGAAGAGTGCAGAAATTCTGATAGACTCCCCAGTAAGGACTGCCTCATTTCCACTGCGTAGGAGGATTCACAAGTAGCTGCCATCACTAAAACACACTTAAACTACTGGCCACGTTTATGTCAAAGATTCTTGGTCTTTCACAAACAAAGAAGTCTTGTTTCAGAGGAAGATTTTCAGATTTTTTTTTTTTTTCCCGCTAAATCTGCATCAATAGTCCTTTTTCTTGTTTGAGGAAGAATGTCGAGTTCGGGGGTTGATTGGCAGGTGTCCCTTGAAATGCAGCTCAAAGAGCTTCCTGTGCGTATGCCGACGGGGCAACAAAGCCTGTGACTGACCCAGGTAAATGTCAGGACACCTTGTAGAATGGTGTTTTGTTCCACAGGAGGAGGTTCGAGAGTGAACCCGGGAAAGGTCTGAACCATTATTCCCCGTGCAGCAAAATGGAGGGCATTTCAATTCTGGATCCTCTCTTGCACTGGAAAATAAAGGTAGTTTTTATATTACATACATTCTTCAAAAGCAAGTACCTTTTAATATACTTTCTTTTTTTCCAATTAGTTAAACAGCAAAACACTAAATGCTGATATACTAAATCTGTTAGTCATACCTGAGAGGTTTTCTTCTCTGCCCCCTCCCAAATCAATATTTGAACTTTTTCTTCCTCGGAAGAGGTCGATGTGATGAATATCTGGAGCCATCAGTTAATTACCATCTTATTTACCATAATTATTGGCTCTAGAAAACGAAGACGGCGAGCGCTTCCGTGGGGCCGTCTGGTCCCAGCGCCCTTTCCTCACGCCTCTAATTAAAACTCATCCAAAGATGATTTTTTGCGGCAACTTGTTAGTGGAAACAAGGAGAGTAGCCGATAATTCCCTCTTAAACATGTCTAATTACTGATTCTGCCACTCCAGCTCGTGGAGCAGGGCGAGTGTTAACACTGTTATCGCATGCAAGGCGTGTTCAGAGAGACTCGGGGGGGGGGGGACATCCAACATAAACACCAAACCCGCAGACATCCTATCTCACCTCAGGGTTTAACGTAAAGAAAATGTTTTTTTAAGCCTCATACACTGTGTGCTTACTTCTGTTTTGTAGATAAATAAATCTTTTATTTATTCAGATAGCCCAGTACTTTTAAAAATCCCAGTTTGTGGTATTTATTTCCTTCTGAATTAAAGAGGAAATTATATAAGTGAAGATAGAAAATATTAGCTCCACGGACAACCTCACATGATTCTATTTTCTAAAATCCCAGTTTGTGGTATTTATTTCCTTCTGAATTAAAGAGGAAATTATATAAGTGAAGATAGTACATATTATCTCCAAGGACAACCTCACATGATTCTATTTTCTAACAGGCACACGCTACGATGTAGCGGGCATCAGCATCCTAATCCTCCAGAGAAAAAAAAAAAAGAAAAGAGAAGCATTAGTGGTCATATGCCGGTCAGATTTGTCCCATTATTCCTGACAATTAATTGCTTCCCAGGCCTCTCAGCCTTTTCTCAGTGAAGACAGATTGTAACGCGAGCGCCGGACTTTAAGCTGTCACTCAAAGCTCACAGTGACCTTTCTGGAGAAAAGGCTGTTTTTTTTTTTTTCACTTTTCAGGGACCAAATGTATGCAAGTTGTGTATATGTGTGTGTGTGTACTTTCTTTGTGAGAACCATGCTCAGACTGGATATTTTGTCTTGGTGCAACTTGACTCCGTGTTATACAGTCAGACAAGAAAGGTAACACTTAAGAGGTAACTAGAGAAAAAGGAAAATTGAGCTATAAATATCCTCAACTAGGTTGGACCAGAAAAACAATTTGAAAAGCTGCACAAAGGATTTCCAACGATCTTACAATGAGGTGGGTCGGCAGATATGTGTAACAATTGCAGGGCTCTTGTCGTTTAGAGTCCTTTTACTTGTTTTTGAACAAAACGCATTAAAAACTTTTGAATAACTCAATTTACCTTTAATTACAGCTACAGATCTTTTTCTTTGAGCACTGACACACAGTAACATGAAATGAAAGAATATTTTTAATATGAGAGATAGGCATTTCTGGAACCGTGTGTTTGTTTTTGTTGTTTTGTTTTTTTGTACCGCTTTTTTCACAGGGGCTCACACCCTTCCTTTGCTGCAGTGACGCCAGCCGTGACTGATGCTCCAAAGAGTAACACAAAAAAACGCGGCAATGGTGACGGCAACCAGATACCTTTAATAAGATAAGTGGCATGTTTCCCTTACACCCCTCAGACGGACTCACAGAGGTGGTTACAGTCGAGAGGAATATGATTCTCTTTCAGCCTGGATAAAGCTGTAATTTCAGCCAGGGAAGACAATCAGACGCTCTGAATTAAGTCGCACTGCCCATGAGGTGAGCGTGAGGTGTCTTTATTGTGCGGGGGTATTGTGGTCAAACTCCCATGCGGCCACGCCATGACGAGTAACTGCCACAGGGCAGATAAAAAAATAGCTGTGAGTGACTTTATCTGCTATTTTCTTTTTAAGGCCAAAATAAAGGGAGACCATTTAGTGTTTACAGATGCCAAGATGAAGGCAATGAGGAACAGTTGCAGTTCTACCAATTGAAATTCGAAAAATTCAATTTGACTTGTGAACCTTTTCACCCACTATGAAATTTAATGGATTCTGTTCCTCCAAACTATTATTAATTGTCTTCTCGTTTCCCCCCTAAAAACCAGACAAACGCCAAATATTACATCTGATTAGAAATATTTATTACAGGGATGAAAGCAGAAACATCCCTTGGTCAGATGGTAAATGCAACAGTTCTAGTACAAAACAGCACATACAATTCAAATTAGAATATTCTCTCTTTATGTAATAAATGTTAAATAGACACTGCATGTTTAAATTCTGAACATTCTGTGGAGTGTGGAGCTTTCTGAGAGGTCGAGTGTCGTGTCGAAGGCACACGGAGGCACAAATAACACAGTGAGGTTACTTTTCCATGAGAGAACACAATGTTCTGACACAATGTAAAATCTTGTGCAAACGTTAAAGCAGCAAGCTAGCATGCAGGTTAACAAACTATCCTGCCATCAGATAGGCAGGATGAGCATAGATACACCGATTTTGAAGAAACCACTTTTTATTTACATCATTTAAAGCATGAAGCATGAGTTCCTATTCAATAAAGATAACCCACAATCCTTTCATAATTATATTATTCCTATTTTTTAAAAGTTGACTGCAATTAAAGTAGAAACAACTGCAGCGATTAAAAAGAATAAATAATCGTAAAAAAAAAACAAATATTTCTGGGGGGGGATCAGTAACACAAAAGCTGGGCAGCTTGTGTAGTCAGTGTCAGCTGCGGTTTGCAGAAAGTGCAATAGAAAGAATAAAGGAACCCTCATCCCAGATCAGCCGTTTAACCTGGAATAATCCGTCTCAATAAACGTCTCAACCATTTACAGAATGTCCAAAAAGGCTAAGTTTGTAATCGGTGCTTGTTGTGCACGGCTTCTCTTAGTAACGGGAGCCTCTTTAGTTCAAATCGGGCCACTTAACTGCAGCGTCAGGTTGCATACACATCACATCCAGGGCGGATGACAAACAAACTTTGGTTCATTTTTCCAGGAAACAGCCGTCTGACGTTGCCTTCCCCAGTTTGTTGGCAAAGGGCGACAACAACTTCTCTGAGAAACATTCGAGTTATGAGGATGTCACGGATACAAAATGCTCAGGCGTAAAAAGGACGCCTTGGAAGACAATATTCACACCACAATCAGTGTCATCCATGCTAATAAAAAAAAAGATAATGGCAGAAAGATTGCGTCTAAAGGATGTTCGAAAACATTTTGTGTTGTCAGAGTCCAGTCTGACTTCAATCATTGGATGCTGCTTTTGATTTGTCCAGATTTAGTGTGCCTGATTGCAATATTGTCATTCAAATATCTGCCATTTGCATACTTTCTCTCCTCTTTAGTCGCCGCTGCCACGCCGGGCTCAGACTCCTCCCCCGCTCCGGTCCACCGTCACCGGCCCTCTGGTTTCCAGAGTCTCCTCGGCCGTTTTCATCAGAATGGCCAGGCGGCTGTCCGACACTTGACCCTTCTTCACGGCGCTCATCAGCTGCAGAGGGAGGAACCGGGAAGGTTAGCTGGTTTCATTTAAAAGTTGAGTCGGACCGCGAGTTTAAAAAAAAAAAAAAGAGCCATTTTCTGCTTTTTGCTCGTGTTTTGAAATGAGGGTCGATGGTACTCTTTCTACTCGATTGAACTCGATTTGTAACTGTATGAAAAGATTTGAAAAAAGATGGACGACAAGGGTGAACTGCATCTCCACCGCCCCCTGGTGGCTGCTTTGGTTTTGCTCACGAGCTGAGTTAGCAAGGAGGCTATTTTTCAAGCTAAAAATGTTTCCAAGAGAAATATGGGAATATTAAGAAGAGCCATTCCTTCTTAGTGCTGCACTGAATAGACAAGAAAGCCCATTTTGGAGTTTGTTGAAGGAAGTGATGTTAAGGAACACCCTGTAATCAGTTTATAAGTCGGGTTGCAAATGACATTGTCACTCGATCAGAGTGTTGCATCGTCTTAAGTTTTGTACTTTGAGTCGCTACAAAACCTGCAGCATAGTGAAAGCCTGTCAGTTTGAACTTGAGCTCGATTGGCTTTCGCGACTCATTCAGTGCCGTCGCTCCCTGGCCAATCAGCGGCCTGCAGTCCGAGGACGTCGCGTGTCTCGGCTCAGATTGTGACTCGTACCTGGTGCACCCAGCTAATCTAATCTTAAACCCTAAAAACCAAGTGGCGTCCTTACGTATAGGAAGGGCTTATGTTTTTTGATTGCTGACATGATACCACCTGACTGCCGTTGAACTTTTGCCTCAGAAACGTTCTGAAATTGATGACTCGACGCTCGCTTGAAACTGACCGCTAATAAAGGCTGTGGGAGTAATTCGGTGGGCAGACGGATGTGGGAGCTGTAGGCAGCCACTCTTGTCTCTAATTAGCTGAATCTAGTCTGAACTGCTGTGACAGACTTCACACCTTTATTCAGGAACATGGGGGGGCCTCGAAATGAGAAAATGATTAGTTCCAGCTGTATGGGTTGTGTGAGAAGGACGACAATGCATTTATCAGAGTAAACTAACTGAAAGCGACAGGCTTTTTTGATGCTTTTATAGCTTACAATTTGATCAAAGCCATCTGATGATGGTGGAAAAAGATTCCAAACGGAGATTTGGACACACAAATGAGGCAGTTTTGGTTTGCAAATGAAAAATCCCCTTTTCTTCAGCTTTTTCTTTTTAAAAGAACTGGCTCCAAAGGACAGTATAAAGAGGAAAAGTTCCACTTCTGTCACTGAATGTTGTTCCTCCTCTCTGCAACTGAGCAAATTTACCTTTGACAAACAATTGATGAATGAATGAATCCCCACTTGATATTTTTTCAGCGATGGCTAAAACTAAATTTTTTTTTTTCATACTGTTCTTGTCCAAAAATAGAGCTGGCGTTTGTTATTGGCAAAAATATGAATTGGTTCATTGTTAGTTCCTGGGGTGGAGTTTATTGCCTATTTGTGCGACTTTACCCTTTTAAAGTTTAAAAATCCACGTTTGTTACGCACCTGCAGGAACTCGTCGATTTCCACTTGCCCGTTCTTGTTGAGGTCCACCTCATTAAGGATTTCGTGGAGCGCGTTTTCATCGATTTGGACATTGATGCTCTGCGGGAGGGGGTGGAAGAACGAAACCGGGGGGTGAATGAGGTGATGAGAACAGGCGTGTGAGGACGGAAAAGGCAGGGGCGGAGTCACTCACCTCCAAAACCTGCTGGACGTCCACAGTGGTGATGAACCCTTTGCACTCCTTATCAAACTTGTGGAAACGCTTCTTGTACCTGCCTCGCACAAGAGGATTCATTATCATTAAAGCTTCTTTGACCATTTTTGTTCAAAGCACTTCATCCTGCGGGCTCCTAAAGCGTGTTTAAAGCTACCTGACCACTTCCTGGTAATCCAGATTGATCTCGGACGTCTTGGTCAGCTGCTCGGAACGGGACCTGTAGCCCATCTCGTGGTACAAAAACTTCCTGGCCGCTTCCAGCTCCTCCTAGATTTCATATCAGAGGCAGAGGACGGGGCATCAAGCAGCAGGCGTGGAAAGAGCACGGCCAACACACAGTGTCTCCAGGAGGAGTACCGTTCTCTTCTCCTGACTCCAGCCCAGCTCTTTGCCCATGATCTGGACAATGCGGGGGAGAGCCTCGTCCGCCGCCTGCACGTTCAGGAAGCCCAGGCGCGTCCGGCGAGCGATGACGTCGATGGCGGTGCAGGCGTACTCCTTGATGGCGTACAGGATCTGTGGGGGAAACGACCCGCTCTGAGAGAGTCCCGGGACTATCGATTTAGACGCCACTGTCCCCGTCGGCCATCCCGGCTCACCTCGGCCTCTATGTAGGGGAATTCGGACACCAGCCGCTTCCCCACGATGGGCCACCGCTGCCCGGTCACCTTAGCTATCTTGGCCACGTCGAACGCCTTCCCTCCATACGTCGCGGCGAGGTGTTGGGCCACCTGTTTTTCAGAGGAAACCTCCTTGATCGGTGATTCAAGTTCCTCTTGAAAATTGCCGTTTGACACCAAAAGGCAATTAAACACCTTCTCAATGCACTGTTCATACATATATATTTATATATGTATATATATAAGTATATGTGTGTATGTGGACATATTTTATGTGACTGGTGTAAATAAATGTTAAAGATTTCAGGCGAAAAATGAGAAAGAAATGTCTCATGTGGTTCAAATCCAATCACTTTTGAGTCTGAGTTTTTTTTTGTTCTTTTATTCCCCAAAGAGGCAATAAAAGATTACGCAAGCCACCACAGCTACATTTTCCTAAATGACAGCGACCAGAGTGAAAGCATCCACCTCCTTTTCCCCCCTCTTCTTGTCGCTGAACAATAAACGACGGTACGACTTTATCAATGAGGTGTCATGTGTTTACAGAACACACAGGGCTATTTGCTATTCAGATCGTTGGCTTGCCGATCATTCGAAAGGGCAAACGCTGTCCAAATATCAACAGTGACCTTTCGGGGTGTGCTGGGCAGAACGCGGCGGCGGCGGCTGCTGCAGAGGCCTCTAATGAGGAAGCCGGTTTACTGTAGGGTTGTTCCGTCGCCCGAGCACTTTTCTCCTCGTGAAAACTATTTTCTGCTTGCGATTAATGAAAAATGAACAGGCTAATTATCGGAAAGACGGCGCGGAGCTGACGCCAGTCGATGTGCCCCTTACTGAACACCATTGATAAATTGGACGGCCCTCATTGCGAGTCCAGTCTTGTGCGGCAGAAATGTCAGCTTTGTGACGGCCGCGGCTTTAATGTCAGAGCCACTGTTGTTGGAGAGGAGGGGCCAGTCTTCTTACCCAGATACTTTGTACATAACTGTCTTCAAATGTGTTATTTAGTCATTTTCAAACTCCTCTTTCTGATAGTTTGAAGAGTTCTAATTCAAATTGTTGCTTTTAACTGTCAGTATGTCATTGTCTTTTTAAAAAATTGACCGATCTCTCCTGCTGTACAAACGACCCATAGTGCTATTTCATTCAACCTGGTACTCCCCGTGCCACATGGCAAAATTTGGAGATTAAACAGCTATTTCATTCTGACAGACTTAGTTGAGCATGAGCGCCCGAACCCAGGAATTGGTAATTGGGCCCACGGGACACTTGGTAAGTCGAGGACCATCGCTAACATCTGGCTGACTTTTTCTCCTGGCGCTAAAGCCTTTAGCCAGATCGGAATATCTGAATGGAATTGCAGGCAGCCGAATTTGTAGATGATAAGTTAGGTAATAGCTCCAATAAATTGGTCTGTAAACACACTACGAGTGTTAAAAATGCTGAATGAAAGTGGGTTCTTTTTAGGTTCTGAGCCATCGAAACGGAGCTTGTGATTGTGCAAAAAAAGGGAGAAAGTTTAGCGTTTTTCCTTTTTCTAATCTGCACATTGTCCTTTTTACGAATGCCCAAATCTCTGACCTCATTCTCCAGTCCGTAGTCCTGCACCAAGCGGATGTAGAGAGTGGGCGTCCAGCCTTTGGCCCCCTCCAGCATCAGGCCCACGGTCCTGCAGGACTCGGCCGGGAGGCCGTGAGCCGTAACGGCTGCGTCCAGAGTCTCCTCGGCCATGGACCTGTAGGTTGTCCACTTCCCACCTGAACACACACACACAATTTTCAGCGCTGTCATTGCAAACGGGAAAAGCCGACCGACTCGATGTGGCTATGTGGCTGGACTGACCAGCAATGGTGACCAGGCCGCTGTCGCTGATGCTGACGATGTGGTTCCTGCAGATGGACTGGGTGTCTTTGGAGCTGGGGTCTGTCACCAGGGGCCGGATGCCGCTCCACGCCGCCAGGACGTCCCCCCTACGCACTGCGGACGAAATACAGTCACGATTCATCCCCAAGGAAACAAAGCCAGTATCGAAGGATTTCTGTATGAAGGTAAGCAGGATTTACTTTCTTTACACTCAACCAAAAATTTAAAAAATTAGGTCTATTAGCAGGTTCCTGAGAACATCCCTCATGAATGGGGATTATGGATGAAGTATAGAAGTAAAAAAAAGTTCAGGAATACCAAAACTAAAGAAGGAAAATGGAAAAAACGGAGGCTCCTGTACCTTCTACGTCAGGGCTCAGATAGTTTCGGACCTCCCTCAGGATGAAGTTGATGTCGTCCTCCCCCGGGATCGGGTGGGCCGTCACGCTCGTCGGGGTGTCGGTGGTTCCGGCGATGGTCATTTTCTCCCAGGGCAAAAAGAAGATGACGCGCCCGTCGCTCGTGGCCGGATCGAGGAGACCCATGTTATCGGGGCTAAATTTGGGATGGGGGGGTAGGTGTTCCAATTAAAACCGCCATTAGTTAACAGAAGTTCACTTTATTAAAAATGAGCGAGGTAAAGAGAGGAAAAACATTACCAAAAGAGGCAAGATGGTGTGAGAAATAAGAGGGACAAGCAAGTGGGAAAAGCGCAGAGATACGGGGGAGGAAGACGAGGGGGTGGGGGGGATGCGGGGAGCAGATAGAAGGCAGGATGAAGACGAGAAACGGAGGAGGAGGAAAATTAGGTGGTTGGCATTTCTGTTCAAAGGGCTCGCACTCCCTCGGGTTTCACTCAATAAGCTAAGCTGAACTTTAAAACATCCGACTTCGACAAAAACCACTCTATTGCTCTCCTGTAGCCGGAGCGGTGGTGAGATTGCCACGCACGTGTAAGCGAAGGTCAGATAATAGCTCGGCTAGCTTAGAATTTGCACACAGGAATGAGAAAAACACTCGGGGTAAATATGGGGGCGGCTTAATGCGTGTGGAATAACAAAACGGGGAACAGGAAGACTTAAAGGTGATACTGTCCGCCATTTTGCCGGTACCTGTAGTAGCCCGGGATGACGATGTGGACGCCGGCGCTGGGCTGGCAGATGTTCGCCGTCTCCTGGTTGTCCATCTTCCTCAGCGAGTCTGTGAAGGGCCCCGTGGCGTTGATCACGCACTTTGCCTTCACGTCAAATTCCTGCCCTGTGAGAGGAACCTCGGGTCAAAACTTTAATAAGATAAGAAAAAAGGAAAAAACGAGGAAACGTTCCCTCACCTGTGATGACGTCCCGGCAGCGGGCGCCGCACACCTTCTCCTTGCCGGTCTGAGGGTCTTTGTCCTTCAGCAGGTGGACCACTTCGGTGTAGTTGGCGACGGCGGCGCCGTAGCGGGCGGCGGACAGGGCGATGGCCAGGTTCATGCGGGCGTCGTTGTGCTGCCCTGAGGAGGACGGAAATGGTCAATAAAGATAGTCCACAGAAATGAATTCATTTTGAAAGGGGAAATGGTTTAGCCTGCCTTTCCCCTGTTTCTCCATTAGTTCCTGATCTGGGTCATAGACATCAGATTTCTGAACCTCTGCTCATCTTATCTTCCAAGAGGGTGGTCTTTCCCCCCCTTATGTTTCCAACAAGTTGCCGTTTTACCGAAATCTTTGCCACAATTTTCCGATTTTCATCAGCTACATATCGCAAACTGTTCAAATTTCTATTTTACACTATGTTCAAACCGTCAGGGAAATTGGTTTGTATATTTAAATCCCTCATTCCTTTGCATCACGATTTATTCACAAATCACTTTATTGCTATGCTGTTACATTTCTATATTTTGTTTTATTACGTCGTTGTCAATTTTTGTTGTTGTCACGCAAACAAAAACAAACCCTCGCATCTGAATGATTTATCAGAAGTTCAATTAAAACCAGCAGTTATAAAATAATCCCAACTATGCCGAGCTTTACCACGTGTTCAGAAACCTCACATGTCCAGTCGTCTGTTAATAAAACGGGCTTGTTGCCCATTTTGTGCACAGTTTTCAACCAGACTGCGTGCAGCCTTTTTCTCAGAACATGGCGCACGCTCGTTATCAAACCCTCTCACACTTCTTATGCTTCAGCCTCCTCTTTACAGAGGTGCTGTTCGAAATATTTGCGATTTAAGAAGGAACTCTGGGCCAAAATCCTCCCGTTTGCTTATTCAGAGGACAAGTCCAGGCTCTTTTTTTTCTCTTTCAGAAATGACAGTAGGTTGGGGTGGATTTAAGAATATTAGAAGCCATCTGCGTTTTGAAGGCGCACGCACACGCAGCACACCATCCGCTGCACCTGTTTGGGAGGATTAAACGAGGCCTGTGTGTCTTCTGTCCGCAGCCTGCGACGCGGTCGGTGGCAGCCGCCGTTACCACGGCAGCAGGAGAGAAAGCCGGCGCTCCGCCCGGCGACGGCGCTCCTCCGCACCGCCGGGAGAGAAGGTCAGGTTTCTAAATGTCACGCGCGTGATTGTTCCAGACGGCATAATTGGAGGAAAGATGCCCCCTTTTTCCCTCCACCATCCCGCACACCCCCACCCACCCACCCCCTCAGAGCAGAGGATGGAGGAGGGGGGGAGGGAGGTGGAAGTCAAACATATGCTGCTCTGCACCAAGAAGCTGCTCTTTTTTTTCCAGGCTAGAAATCAGGCAGCAAACACCGGCCACTAAAAACCGCACGTCTGGGGCTCCTTTGTCTCCAATTAAAAAGAAAAAACATCCACTGAGACAAAATGACTCCGAAAAGTGGGACAGGTTTAAGCTTTTGTTCCTAATTGTGCCGCAAAAAAAAGATTTTCGTTTAAAATCTTTAAATCTTCCCACCTGGGAATCTTTACATCCCTCCCAAAATCTTTAAATCTAAAATCTTAAGATTTTAAATCTTGTTTAAAAAGATTCCGAGTGGCTTTTCATTGCGATCAAAACGTTAAAAGACCCGGCGGAGCACAAGCCTAATCGCAGTCTGGAGCTGGACGCTCCGCAAATGCGCAGCTCCTCTTTGTACCGAACCCGGGAACATAACCTTTACCACCGGGGGGGGGGGGGGGGGGGGGGTAGAGGAGGCATCCCACCAGCCTGTCAACACTTTTTGTTCAGCACCAGTGGAGATGTGAAGGCCTCAGGCATGACAGCATGTCTGAGCTCTGGGTTCTTTAATCTCTGTTTTGGCTCCAATCGGGTCAATTCTACACAGCGCCTGTAATGTACAGGATTTATTCAGAAATAGGAATGCTGTTGGAGAATTCTACGCCATCACATCTGGGATATTTTCTCAAAATGATCCAAAATTGTAAAGATATCTGGTGTTTGCAGGTGAAAATAGGGTATAGAGCCACCAATCCTAGAAAAAGGGTACACTATTAATTTAATCTGCAGTTCTTCATTTTTTGCCACATATTTATATATATATATACAGTGGGGGAAATAAGTATTTGACCCCTTGCTGATTTTGCCGGTTTGCCCACTTACAAAGAATGCAACGATATATAACTTTAATAATATGTACATTCTAACAGTGAAAGACAGAATCCCAGAGGAAATTCCAGAAAATCACATCATATGAATTTATAAAAATTGATAACCATCTGATGAGGAAAAATAAGCATTCTTTGTAAGTGGACAAACCCGCAAAATCAGCCAGGGGTCAAATACTTATTTCCCCCACTGTATATATATCTAGAGGTTCATGCGGACGTTCTTGCGCTATGCTTTCAAAGAGACGAAAAATTGTGAAAATGGAAAGTTTGAGGCTTTAAGGTTTCCATTAGTCCCTACTCTACATGACGACATCAAGGACATCGAGGCAACTATGAACGCTCCAAAACTCGGTGTGGGTTTGTGCATTAGGCATTGACAACGTTAAAGATCACAGAAATGATCTTTGCTGCCCCATTTTTAAAATGGTTGGGATTTACGCTCTCTAATCGGTCTGCCCTCGGCCCTACCCGGCCCGGGCCGATGGAACCCCGGCTGAGTGGGTCCTAAAGTTTAGCGGGGCTAGCCCCTAGTGAAAAAGCAAAAAAAAAAAACAGGAAGAGCCGCGGCGTGCTGAGTGGGCACTGGAAGAAACGCGCCATAAGTGTTTACAGATGCGCTTTTCCTCTCCGAAAAATTCCCGATAAACCAACTCGTGACTCAGAGAGCGGCGACTTGTTTTCGCGCTCGGAATAGAATGTGGCGTCACGCGAGCGCAGATTAGCGCCCGGCGCGCGGAGGGCGAGCGGTGTAACTTCATGCCGCGGGAAAAGGGCAGAGCTGACTCAGCTGCCTCCTCACGTTAGCCTAAAAATGACGGACGGGCGAGCGCAAAAATGGGGCGCCCTTTTTATTTACTTATTTAATTTTTTAATTATTACCCTAAATTACTCTGCGGCTAAATGAGTCGTCCGTTACCGTCGTAATAGACGATGGCCCCGACCAGCTTGTCCTTCTTGAGCATGGGGAACAGCTCCAGGGCCTTGGACTTGCTGAGGACGTAGCTGCTCTTCAGGCACTGGATCCCGGCCACCACGTCGTACATCTTGATCCCCGCCCAGTAGTAGGGCAGCTGCCACCACCTTTTTGGACGGTAAAAAAAAAGGTTTAAAAATCAATCGCAGGATTCACAGCTCGGGCGTTTTTTTTTCCGGCTCGGAGCCTTACTTGTAAACGGGGAGCATGATGGGCAACGCCGCGGACAGGTGGGGCGCGATCTCCAGCAGGTTGGCTCGCTCATGCAGGGCCTCCTTCACCATCATGTACTGATTTATACCAACAAAAAAAACACAAAATTGAGACCATGGAAACAAAGAAGGTCAGCAAAACCGGGAGAGAACGAGGCCCCAACGCGAACCTGCTCCCAGTCCAACTTCATGATGGCCTTCTGGAGGTAGCGCACGCCTCCGTGGATGAGCTTGGTGCTCCGGCTGCTGGTGCCGGAGGAGAAGTCGCTCCGCTCTACCAGCGCAGTTTTAAGGTCTGAGGGGGGCAAACAACAGGTTAAGGGTGTATATAGGGAGGGTGGGGGGTTAGTGGGGTGGAGGTTCCTATAGTGGTGAGTGTTCCCCAACTGGGGTAGATACATACGTAAATATTCTACTTTGTGAGTTGCTTTGGATAAGCTTTTAAAGTAAAAGGGATGTCTTGGTCGGGTTCTTACTGCGTGTGACAGCGTCTAAGGCACAGCCGGCGCCCGTGGCCCCCCCTCCGACCACCAGCACGTCGAACTCCCCGGTGTCTCTCAGCGCCGCTAGCTGGGCCTGCCGCGAGGGGAACTCGTCAGGGTAGGGGACCTTCAGCTCCGCTTCCGCCGCCACGTGGGCCAGCCGGGCCTGGACACGGTCACACACACACACACACGTGTTTATCGGGGACTTTTTTAAGAGCGGCGAGCGATGCAGATTAGTAGGACCAGGCGTGAAAGTTTGGTGGGGGGCAGGGGGGGTAGCAACACTTAGCTTGAGCTGCGCTTTGAAGCATTACAAGCACAGACTGGGTGCATTAATGCTGCGTTCCAATCACCTCGCAAACGACACGTGACGTCGCGCACAATTATGTGCAATCACTTTCATCCATTATGGATCTGCTGCGGCTTGTTTGTGATGGTTTTTGTTTTTGTAGCTCTCTGTAGCATCTCTGAGTGAAACTGAACCTCCATGGCTTTCTGCTCCTTGGAGAAAATGCTGCAACCGAACTTCTGGGAGTGGAAAAGAAGATAGTGGACCTTTGTAGAAACCGCCTGCTGCAAATTTCTTTTCGTCTTTGGTCGAACAACTTGAGCGTGCTCCACTTTGTCCTTCACAATGGCACGGTATAGTTGCCCGGGGCCATGATACTACCACCACCGTGTCACAAACAGGATGAGGCCCTCACACTTCCAAATACAAGCGAGTTGTATCTGCACATCAGCCCTCTGGTTTTTTTTTTCAAACTTTGCCAGGACTTTCTCCTGACGTCTCTCCTTCTGTGTTCACATCTTCTCTGGTTTTTCTTAGTCTGGGATTTGCTTACATGCTCATATACTGTTTTGTTTATTTGTTCAAGTTCAGTTTTTGGTTTTCCGGCTCACTTTTCTGTTGCTTTACTAGCGTTTTCTCCTGTCTGTCGGCCATTTTCAGGCCCATTTCCTTGATCAGGTCACCATCACCCATCTCGGGACTAAGTGGAGGGAATGGAACCCCAAAAATATATTTTTGAAGATAAAGACGACCTGAATGATTTTGCCTTCCACAAATCTCCCCAGTCTAAAATCCATTTAGGTTTCACAGTATAGAAATGGCTTCTTTTTTCTTTTTCTCTACATCTTCTTCTTGGTAATCCTGCAGTTTGTCCAATGAGTGATGGCTTTTAGTCGGATTTTTGTACTTTCTTCCATTCTATTTTTTTGCACAGCCTCTCTATTTGTATTGAACAAAGGCATTGATGGATGTCAACTGCTAGAAGCCAGCCAAGCTATGAGGGACATTAAAGACCCTTAAAAATCGGTCATTTCGACACGGTGGAGCTGAAATGTTTGTTGAAATTAAATTTGTTCCAATCATCAAAGAAAAAACTCTTTTAAACTACTCTAAAGAGGAACGATCAGCTAGAAAAGGAAGCTCTCTAAAAGCAGCATTGTTCAAAAGTCGGAGTCTGTGCTTATAATGTTTCCCCACCACCTTTTGGAATCCAAGCGCCGTGTTGCCACAAAGAAGAAGAACATACTCAGAGTCGTAGGAAAGAAGAGTGCAGAGGGTTTCCGTCTGTCTGTCTGCTGCTCCCCGCACAGTAAAGCCCCCCCGGTCTGTGAGCGTCACCGTTTTGATTAGCAAAATAATTCATTTAAAGGAACAATCACCGCTACAGTGATCATGAAAAAAAATAAGGAAATAAATAAAATAAAAAGCTTCTCTCTGATATGAAGCAGCAGAATTTCTCTTCTAATGAAATATTTATTCAGTTTTCAGAGCTAAATGATTGCATCAAGCCGCTTTGAGGCCGCCGCTGGATTTGACTTGCAAATAGCGGCGGGCGTGTGCAATTTGGGCCCGCGAACGGGGCCATGATATAATCATTGTCTTTTTTCTTTTCTTTTCTTTTTTTTTTTTTTTT